ATTTTGTTTTCAAAAGCAATGTTGATGCTTATCGTTTCTTTCATGTACAGTTTTTCCTTTTGAATTTGCGAGCGGTAAAGTCGCTGAGCACTGGTAGTTCGCTCCGAGGTTCGAATCCCGCGAACGGGCTGGCTGCATGGGCGTTTTCGTGGTTTTCTCCATGTGTAACATGTATACGAGCCAGTTGCCTTAAAAAGTCCTCCACGAAGGCATCCCTTCCCTTAGGCAGATAGTCCTAGTGTGCTTGGCCATAATTAAATACACCACCACACACCACCCTTTGAATTTGCGAAGGGTTTTTAAAATGCTGTCTTCGAATCTTTGCTATCAGTTTACTCTCAAATAGAAATTTATTTTTTTCACGTTTACATTATAAAGAGTTGAAATAAGCAGCAAATGAAGTAACTGTTATCTTAAGCGGCAACAGTGTTTAATTTATATCTCTTAAAGTCATTATCTTTCTTTTTATAATACACTGCTTACAACAAATTGTTTGTAATTAGGTTTTGAAACAACTAAATATAGCATTACAAAATCGGATATATTTTGTCTTACCTCTTATCTGTTTCATTCACTATATAAGCGAAATTCTGGATATAACCTATAGCCATTACATTTAGGGGCTCACTTTTAGTTATATTAATATCGAGTAAGTTATTGAAATATTTAAACCAGCGGCTCTAGTGTACAATTGGGAGCTCCTTCGATTAGAAACAAATTTTGTTCAGTTTTGGTGATGAAACGCCATTTCTGGTTACCATAATAGTTTTAACCAAGGAGGTTAGAATAGAAGGAGCGAAGGTTCAACTTAAACCATGAATCCTGGTGGCCATACTGAACACTGGTAGTTCGGTCCATAGTTCGAATCCCGCGAACGGGCTGGCTGCATGGGTTTTTTCGTGGTTTTCCCCATGTGTAATGTGTATACGAGCCAGTTTCCATTAGAAAGTCCTCCACGAAGACATCTCTCCCCTTAGGCAGATAGCCCTCGAGGCTTTGCCGTAATTAAATAACCTAATCTGGCGGCCATATTTCTACTGTCACTGTGATTTGTACAAGGAAATCTGTCATTGTAACATTTTTTTTTCTTTCTGAACTATGTCATCTTGGTTGCATAAGGATGCACAAATCGATTTCGAAAAAGATTCCTGGGATTATTTTTCACGCTAAGTATTAATTTTTTTAATGTAATTTGATAAATATGTTGAAAAATATTGCAATACCATGTTATTTTCTTTCCACATGTGAAAAAAAGGACTTAATCAAAATATGCTGAATACATTTTAATGTTCTGTTTATAGTTGGTATCTTCGTTCCTTAACATACAATGATATATGCTAGGATTTACACTGTACAATTTGAACGTGTTTAGGTAATTCGTTTTATAATTTTCATAAAAAGTAAGAAATCAATTGTTACTATTTTTATGAACTGTATAGGTGTTAAATAAAGTAATACTTTTCTTTATGTATTAATTATTATTCTTTTAAGTTTCGTGAAATGTTATGAATATAATTTGTGCATTTGATCAAGATAAACTGTTCTGTTGTTAAAAATTGTTTGCATAAAACGTATAAATTTCTGAGTAGTACAGCGATAAAAGTAAATAAAATATTAACACAATTGAACATGTAGAAAGACGTATCCAAAAATTTATATATAGGTATATTTCTGTAATTCAGCATAATTCAAGGCAATTTCTTTGAGATTCATAAATATGAAACACGGATAAACTGATATGATTAAATTCACATAAATCTATTTTATTTTAATATTTATTTTCTTTTTGTTATAAGGTTGTTGGTTTTGAAACGGATCTATTTAAAACTTTTATTTAAAAAAATGCAACGTGTAACTATTTAGATAATTATTGCTAAATATGTGAATTTCTGTTTTAGCGTATTGCAACTTAAATCTGAAGATTTAAGCATACTAAAATAAAATAACTTTCTTTCCTATCTTTTAAACTATGTATATGAAGTGATTATTTAATAAATTATGATAATCAGAAATATCACTTCTATAGGGAAAATTGGAAAAGTACACCCAACAGGTTGCTAATAAAACCTAAACAAATCCTTGAAAAATGCAGAAACATCATTTTTAAATATTCAAGTTATCTATAAATCAGACTAGTTTATTAGCCTCTAGGCAACCATCTGTGAAGTAAACTCAATAAACGAAATAAGTTTAAATGAAATGTACGAAAAAATGCTTATAATTTAGTATTCTGTACACATGAGATTTTTTTAAAGAATGTGGAACATCGTGAAATTAATACTTTTCATCGTTTGTCTTAAAAGAAGGCGAAGAATTTGTTTTCTAGTCTGTGAAAAGTTCAAAATTTTGTATTCGATACAGTTTTAAGTGATGAAATGGTAACAAAACATCATAATAACATTGGAGAAAAAAAATCGAGCGAATTTCGAAAACTGGCCAAAACTTCCGAAATTATGCTGAAATTTTAAGGAAATACTAAATTTAATTTAAAAGATATGAGTTTCTAAGGTTTTTAGTAAAATGAAGATATATATTAAACGGGGATACGTACTAAAAATTGTTAAAAAATAAAATCGATTTGAGGAAAAAAATAATAATAACACTTCATTGCATTTTCATTCACAAACAATGTATATCAAAAATTTGAATTCGATAAATTATCAGAAAGTAGATTAAAAATTGGTGGCAAATTTCCAGCCATATTCACAAACGCGAAGAACTAATTAAAAGCTTATAATAAAACAAGGGAAGGCGCGGTCTTTCTCGTTTAGAAGTGGAGAAGGCTTAAGTAGAAAAATAAAATGCAATTATAAAAAAGGTTTTGTACAATATGCTTTTATTTAAAATGGATATGATAATTAATATACTAAAAGGAGAAAAATCATTTATCATATAGTTTAATAGGAATAATGCATTAAATAGTTCTATTTACAGAATTTATCTGCAATTTTATATCGCGCATAGTAATAGCGTGGGGCGCCCATTCTAAATTTAAAGAGATAGTTTATACATTTGAATGTAATTAAATTAATAGAATTAAGAAGATCATGACTTATACATTTGACAATGCAATTCTATTAATAGATTTCGTTATTTAGGCCTTCAGCATTTTATTTCTGGAGACGTAAAATTATAAATTATTTTTCTCTTTTTAAGTACATTAACAATCTTATCCATTTTAAACAAAAACTTGTGTGATGGAATTTTAAGAAAGTTATGAAATAAAGAAAAATAACTAAACGTCATTCCCAGAATAAAGAGAATTGCTTTGAATATTCAGTTTGGGAAATTGGAGCCAATAGCAACGTTAAGAGGAGCTTAAAGCTAAAATTATATATAGGTAGAGTTCCTCACTTTGTAATTCTAAGTGAAGGTTGGAAGTGAAGAACTGATAAGCGAATAATCGCTTAAGTTCGGGTGACAAGAAACAACAAGATAGAAGGGTAACTAACCCTTTATTATTCCAATAAGATTTAACGAAACTCCCCCTGGGAGCGTACAAACAAAGCCGACACTTAGGCTTGAACTTAAGAGACTAAGAATTAAACTAAAACTAAGATTAACTAAAGAAATATAGCCGAAGCTATCAAGATTCAAATCGAGTTGGCCCCTTAACTTATTTGACTACGAAGCTTAGCAAGGGCCTGAGTACGGCCGAGCCTAATAACAGAAAAAAGGCCAAAAAGGCAGACGCGCTTAAATCAGAAACTCTGATTCTCTCTGCCTCTGTAAGTAACTTCGTGGTTACCGCTCCTCCTCATTCAATATTCAGCAAGATTCCAAAACTACGTTCTGGCCAGAAGTAGTAAGTTGAAGTTAAGAATTTGACAGGAAAGGAACTTAAACTTTAACTGTTAATAAATTAATATAATTCTTAAATAATATATATATATATATATATATCATATTCTTCATTAATTCAAAATGACAAACTCAAGACAACTTTTTCTCCCGTCTGCTTTAGACTGCAGCACATTTTTCTAAAAAAATTATAGAGAATTGCTCAATTAAGAATTTTTTTGGCATTCTTGTATTGAAAATTTCAGATCGTTATGTCTAATAAATTTTTATACGTTGAAATTTTAAAATCGCACAGATCAAGTAGTATAGACAATAGAGCGATCTTCGAGAACTGTCCAAAAATTAAGAAATTAAGTTTAAATTTTTACAGAGTTCATTGAAAAGCCTTTTTTTTTTTCTTCGCTGTATTTCATGGTGCAAACAGTAAAATTCTAATATGCTTAATTTATTTGTTAAAAAAAAAGATATGTGAGAAAAATACCATAAACGTTAAATTTAAAAAAAAAAAAAATCTAAATCTAATTTTGAAAAAAATTTCGCTCCACCGCATTGCATTGTCGTCGACAGACAGTATTGTGTGCAAAATTTGAACTCGATAGCTTTTTAGAAGTTGGGTAGAAACCAATGACAAACATTTGACAATGAGATAATTACAATGAGTGAACTAAATAAAAGTTTACAAAAAGAGTAGCTTTAAATTAAACTCAGTAGCGCAACAGCCCTAGTGGGCCAAGGACAGCAATGACCTGAAATCTGCTTTCTTGACCGTTGGCCCCGGGGTGCGTAAGCATAGGCCCTGGACAAGTGGTCAGCTTGTGGCAGGACCCCAATGTTTAGTCCCCAAGCGAACTTGGTACTCATTTAATCAACCCAGGAGATGGCAATCAAGGGATGAAAGGCTGAGTCAACCTTGCCCAGCCAGGCCAAAGAACAGACTTTCTTTGGCCAGGCCCAGCCCGGAATCGAGCCAACACATCCTTCTGTAAGGTGTTGATCGAACCCCGGACCTGTGGTGCTCCTGCGCGATGTACTAGCCACGGGGCCTCAAAAAGAGTAGTAGCTTTACCCACCGAATTATCCATATATTAAAAATCTATATCAAAATTCCACGCGAGCTGAAACACTATCAGTGAAGTAAATAAAAGCTTACATAGTGAGATGGCCTGTAAAACCTATTATTGCTATTATATTAGACTCACCTGTGCACTCGTCTTTTCCCATCATCTCCTACTCTGAAAACGCAGTTGACTGATTCATCTTCTAAATATTTCTTATCGGCGTTACCATTCATTTTGAAGTCAAATTGTGCGGAAAAATCTATTGAGCAATGAACTGCCATGTTGATGTTAAGCGAAATCTGAAATGAATACAAAAGGACAACTTACAGAAAAACAATTTGCTAGCAAAACATGACTAAAAGAAAGCATAGAAATTTCTTAGTTTATATAAACCGAATTTCATAAAAAGAAATTTTTTAGAATACACCTTTTATTTTCGGGTTTCAGACTGTTGTAAGAAAATTATCGATATTGTTATGAATTTCGCGAATTGCTGTGAATCGATTTTGTTGGGATTTCGAGAATGAATATTTGCAAATATCGCGTTTTCTTGCATACTCCCCTCCCCTCAGCTTTTTAGCCCTAGGATCTGAAAATTTTAAAAATACTCGTATAGTTTCCTCCTACTTTTACAGTACATAGTTTTCCACTCTGAGAGCTAGTTTATTGGTAAATGTTATCCCTCTGATTGTTTTTATTCAATGCATTCAATTTGTATTTGCAATTTTTTTATTAATAGTTTTACCCTTTTCATTTTTCCTTGCATTTATTAGTTGAAACGTATTTTGTGCAGATTCTTAGTTAAGCTACACGGACGTGCAGTCATTGTTGCTAGAAAAATTTCAACTAAATTAGCTAAAAAAGACCCAAAAAGTCACAAAAATGGCAAATGACGTCAGAGATCACGTGATTTTTGTGGCGTCATAGTTACGCATGCTCACAGGACCTGTAACGTTATCACAAATTTACCGTTTATGATTTACAGACTGTATTCAATTGTTAGTCTTTAAAGAAAATTTTAAAACTATATTGCTCATTTTCAATTGTTTAATTATCCATTTTTTAATTAATCTCATTTAATTTAGGTATCTATTTTTAAATTAATTTGTGGATATCCATTCTTAAGAAATTCCTCACGTTTAGTCTGTTAGCACTTTTGTACTAAATTTTTTGAGTTAGCAATTAATTTTTTTAGCCCAAAGGAGGTTAGCCCAGAAGGGTTTTTCATTTCGTTTTGACATTTTGCGTTGAAAACTTTAAATGTCGGGTCACTTTTCACACTGTTGCCACCAAATATTACAACCCTGTATTATATTTAAATAAATTAAATAATGAAGAATCTGCATAAATGTATGTATGTTTCTTGCATTGTGATAAAATGCCTAGAGCCATCAAATTTTGAATAACATACGTCTCCACCCGAATATGGGCATCATCGAATATGGGAAGCCCAGAGATTTTGATTAAGAAACTCAACTATTTCAAAGCGAGCAGTGACAACACTATAGGAAAAAAAAAAAAAAAAAAAAAGACATTTTTATCTCCAGCGCGGGAGACTGTGTATCGGAAATTCTAAATATATGTGCTTGGAAATATTTTGTGATATTATTGTTGAATTGAACTCTATGGTTTAAGTGCGAAGAACATGATATTTAATAAGTAAAGGTAATACGCAAATCGTTAAAAAAAAAAAGCTCCTTTGGGCGCAATATTAAACCTGAAAGCTTTCAGACATTTCTTTTATAATTATTCCTTCAGTGCAAAGTTTTGTTTTATTTTACTTTTCACTAATATTTTGACACTAGCTGTATTATTTACTTTAAATGGTTATTATGATAAATTTATGGAAGCGAGTTAAAACAGATTAAATTAATGTTATAAATGTTGGGTGTTTATGTTTACCATTTTCTCTCAATCTAAAATTTAGAGTATCAGTTTTTCCTGTTCCTGTACAATACAAAACGTCGACAAATAACTGATTAGGGAGAGTTTCCGTAGTCTAAAAGATTTCAAATTATGTAATATATGAATGATGTATTTTATATATAAAAAAATTTGACGGACTTTATGAGTGAACGCTTCACAAATCCGGAAATTCCGGATTTAAAAAAGTTGAATATTTGAAATTTTGGCTATATCTAGACCTCAGTTACCCCTGATTGTAAACGTTCTAATGTGGCCTTTAATTTCGCAATCGCGGTACAAACATTATATTGGTTAGGGAAGCCTACTGCTGAACCGAAGGGGCTCGAATGCCCTAGAAGGTATGGATGCTTGTAAATGTAGAGTGTCTTCGCGGCATAGGGGCACTCTAAATATATGGCGAGCGGAAAGTCCTCTCGTGTAAACCACACGAGAGGACTTTCCCTTTGGTGGAAGGGGAGAGGAGTGGGAGACTCTCGGACCCCGCCCTGGAGTGCTGTCCCTCAAAACTGGGTGAAAGGAGAAATCCAACTTCCTTGAGGCTCTCGCGACCATTCTTCCATGAAATTCATGGACAAGACAACAATAATTTCGGAATCAATGGTTGCAAACATCGAGCCTTGCGATGCAGATGGTCAATGTTTTTACAATACAAATTTAAATACAAAATTAATTAAAAAATACAAATTTAATTTCAAATACGACAATTTTTCTGACAAGGAGATTTTATTTACAGAATCTTATAGAATTCGAATTGTAGAAAACTAACAGGCTTTTAGCCGATGCATAACATTATTTGCGTAAAATAAAAAAAAGTAACTGCTTAGGCCGAATGAATTTTGTCGTATGATTATAAGATTATGATCTTAACGTAGTAGAACTGAAATTTGAATATTATTAATGAAATTTGAATATTATTACTTTTTTGCGATGCATTTTAAAATACGACAACATTAGTCAAATAAAAAAAAGTAACTGACGAATGAATACAATTTTTCCGTAGAAATGAATTTGAATATTATTAGCTTAGCTCCTTTTTGGCGAGAACTTTTTTTGCGACTTTTAGGCACGATAAATTAAAAATTATTACAACTCTATTATTTATGGTAACAATGAATACTGAGCGCAAACACATGCCGCCATTTCTGTCCACGTAACTTTAACGGGCGGGAGGGATAAATGGCAAGTTTTTCTTAAATCTGTTTTTGTATTAGAAAATCACAATATAAAAACAAAACTTAAAATATCGTTTTTAAAAAGGCCAAAATTTGATAGTTAAGACTGATGCTTTTAATATTACATCACGATTCTTGACTTTTTTTTTTCAAATATTAACTCTACATATTATAAACTCCGCTATCCCCCCCCAAAAAAACATAGATTTTTAGTAGCATGAGGTATACTATTCGTGTTTTCTATGCTAAGGAACCACGTGCAAATTTAGACTTCTTACATGTTTCTTAAAATGGACAATGATTAAACTTACCATTATCTAAAAATACTTTTTACTTCATTTCTTAAATTAGAACTATAGAAATGTATAATTGTGTGAATTCATAAAGAGAAATCAGGTTTTTAATATTGCTTTTATGACACTTTTTTAATTTGTTTGACTATAAAAAAATATAATGTTGCCTAGATTATGGAATATATTGTTCATAATTTACAGTTGTCAAATTTTGTAAATCTCACAGTCAAATAGCTATATATGAATAACCTTCATTGAGTATAATTACTTTTATTTATAGTGTGTTGACATAACATTCAACTTTTTATTTAAAATTTTATGCAAATTTTCTGCATTAATCTAACAGATCAACAGCAAATTTTCTACATTAATCTAACAAACATTTAATTTAACATAAATCTGAATTTTTTTTGTAATAAAAACTTTGTAATAAAAGTAAGAAATTTATATATATATAAATTTGACTATATGGTAAGTACTTAAATACTGATTCTAACGTCTTTAAATGTAATTACTATAAAGTTTAGATATATTCTTTGCAGTCATATAGTGTAGTTAAACTTTGGTAGACATTAAACAAATTATCGCTATGTCTAAAGTAACAACTGAACCATGAGAAGGGTGTAAAAGATCCTTTTTTAAAACTAAATAAGAACAGAAGGCACTTTGTGCTTACGACCCAGTCAACCACTTGTGGCAAGATAACTTATGATAACAATTAAATTCAAATGTAAAATTTAAAATCAAATAAACTAGTAGCCAAAAGATGCACAAATCAGTTTAATACAAAGTTGGCTCAAAATTTAACCGACATGGAATTCAACTATTGGCAATTATAATGCAGGACTGAGGACTACAAATCTTACCTTATCTAGCAGCCTAACAACGTGGCCTCGAAAGGCAAAACACGCTTTGTTTTACAAACGAAAATCCTCATTTGCATTCTGGTGGGAAAACGGACGGGGAAAATGATAGTAAAGATCCCAAACATACAATAACTCTGGTTACAAAATAAAGGAACCTTACATTATACTTTGTTTCCTGATTAATTATTTACTGCATCAAATAGTGTAATGCATTTTTGTTTGCATCACATACAAATTATTTATTTTACTTAAAAAGCTGTCTAAAACTGTACTTGATTTTGCAAACAAAGTGACCATATTTTTCGACCTATAGATACAGCATTTATTCACTTCAGAAATAAGATTTATTTCTAAGAAATCAATTAAACCATTACTATGTAAAGCTTTTATATAAATAAAAATGATGCCGATAAAAGCATAGAAGAATAAAAAATAACATCACTTTTCAAAATTATTCATTTAATTCATAATTAAAAACATTCTTTTTTTCTTTATTAAAACCAGCTTTGTTGCCTGATAGTTACTGTGAAAGGGCAAACAAAATATAGGAATCTGTATTCAAGAAGAGGTAGTAGTATTTATGAATGAAAAATAAATATATAAGCAGGCTAGCAGAGGGAGGATGCTTTCATAAAGAACCTTTTAAGAGAAACTGGCTCAAATTCACATTACGTGTAAGGAAAATAATAATAATAATAATAATAATAACCTCCCATATAGCTAGTCCGAACTACCAGTGTTCAGTGGTTTATCACTCCACCACAAGTGGATTCCAATATCTGTTCGAATCTTTCACAGAAATCCGTCAGTTAAGACAATTGTTGTTGTGTATTATTACCATTGTTACAAAATTTACTCGTTATGATAATTTAATTTTAGCTTTTAAATTATAATCGTAAATTACTTGTAATAAATCGATTAAAAAATACACACTTCTTAATAATATTATTACCATTTACATAATTTAATTCATAAAAAGTACTTTTAACACTGGTACAAAATTGACTCCCTATGATAATTTAATTCGATTTGCTTCAACTTGAAACATTTTTTAAAATTTACTTTTAATAACAGATGCTAAGAAATTAAAGTAACATAACTAGCTTTAAATGCAATGATTAACCTTTTGTAAATGTCATTACTCTTAATTCACTCATACTTTTTATGAATTAAATTATGCAAATGGTAATATTAAGTGTCTATTTTTTAATCACTCAATTTATTACAAGTAAATTTACTTTATTAAAATTTACTTTTAATAACAGATGCTAAGAAATTAAAGTAACATAACTAGCTTTAAATGCAATGATTAACCTTTTGTAAATGTCATTACTCTTAATTCACTCATACTTTTTATGAATTAAATTATGCAAATGGTAATATTAAGTGTCTATTTTTAATCACTCAATTTATTACAAGTAAATTATGAATACAATTTAAAAGCTAAAATTAAATTAGCATAATGAGTAAATTTTGTAGCAATGGTAATAAGACACAACAACAATTCTCATAACTGATGATTTCTGTGAAAGGTTTGAACAGTCATTGGAATCCACTTGTGGTGGAGTGATAAACCACTGAACACTGGTAGTTCAGGCTGACTATATGGGAGTTTTTGTGGTTTCCTTACGTGTAATGTGAATATGAACAAGTTTCTCTTAAAAAGTCCTTTATGAAGGCATCCTTCCTCTACTAGCCTGCATATATATTTTCTATTCATAAATACTGTCTTCTCTTCTTAAATACAGATCCCTATATTTTGTTTGCCCTTTTACAATAAATATCAGGCAATAAAAATTAGCTAGTTTTAATAAAGAAAAAAAGAATTTTTTTAATTGAGTTAAATGAAATATTTTGAAAAGTAACGTTACTTTTATTTTTCTATGCTTTACACTGTTGTAGCTAGCCACATCATTTTTATATGAAAATTTTACGTAGCAATAGTTTAAAGCTGTGGTAATAATATTTGTAGTTACCTCATTTTTTTCACTCTGAAACAGTCTTCCCAACAGCAATTGAGTGATGTTTCTTAACACAGGAAATTAATTGATTTCTTAGAAAATAAATATTATTTCTGAAGTGAAGAAGTGTTTTATGTATAGGTCGAAAAATATGGTCAATATGTTTGCAAAATGCTGTATATGATGCAAACAAAAATAGTCAGACAAATTATAAAAATGTTATAAAAGAAATAATAAAAATTTGAATTCACACTGTACATCCCTGCAGTTTTAATTTAAGAAATGAAGCAAAAAAGTATTTTTAGACCATGGTAATTTTGATCATTGCCCATTTTAAGAAAAATTAATAAGTCTTAGCAAAGGAAACAAGAACTTACCTCATGCTACTAAAAATTTGTTTTTTTGGGGGGGGGAGGGAGTGCATAATATGCACAGTTGACATTTGAAAAAATGTCAAGAATCATATGATGTAATATTAAAAGCATCAGTTTTCACTATCAAAATTTTGGCTTTTTTAAAGCTCTGCCATCAAGCTCTGATATCTACCAAATTCGTTAAGTTATCTGGATAGAAATGGCGGCTCACGTGTCAGCTCAGCATTGAGGGTAGATTGAACGTTTAAGTAATGTAAAAAATTTGCATAAAATTTAAAATAAAAAGTCGATTGTTATATGTTAACATACTATTAATAAAAGTAATGACCTACTCAAAGCAGGTTATTCATATACAGCTATTAAATTGTGAGATTTGCAAAATTTGAGAACCGTAAATTATAAGCAATATATTCCATAATCTAGGCAACGTTATATTTTTTATAGTCAGATAAATTATAAAAATTTTATACAAGAAATAATAAAAAACCTAACCTGATAAATAACAGGGTTATCATGTTTCATTTATTGCGCCCAAATGTCGCCAAAAAGGACCTAATACTAAACCTGTGCCTTCAGTTCAATAGCAATATCGCAAAATAGTTTTAAAATGAGCATATCCTTCGCTTTGAAATCGTTGAGTTTGTTTATCAACAATTCGTTAAAGTTTTACAAAATATGAAACAGATCATAAAACAAATTTCAAATTTGGGCTTTCACATGCCCATATTCGTAGGAGGATTATGTCATTCAAAATTCGATGGCTGTATGTTATTTTATCACAATACGAGAAATATATATACATTTATGCAGATTTTTCATTATTTAATTTCTTCAAATATAATGCGGGACTCTAACATTTGGTGAACCAACGCAATATAGCAAAACGAAAACAATAGTCCTTCAGGGACAAAGCCCCTTTGGGCTAATAATGGATTGTCTGCAGTTGTTACGAGAAAGTTCTTTGTTGTCTTTCCTGCGGCGCGGTTCAATGATATGTTCAGAAAATGCATTGTATCAAGATCAGTTTACCTAATAATTCAATATTTCTCAGACTTTGATAATATTAACCGACGTGGTTGATCACTATCGGTGACGTATTTTTCTATGTAAGCGGAATGAATTTCGATTATTCGATAACATTTTCCGAATAATAATATTAACCGCGATCACATTAAGCGGCGCTTACTGCGTTTAAAAATTAATATGCACAAAAATCTTGAGATATACCTACGAAAACATTTAAATTATGAATCATATATATTGAAAAAAGAGCAATATGACAAAGAAAAATGAACTAACCCTGAACAAAGAAGGTGATCCAAAACTGTGTCTGTAGACAGAAGCAGCTTATTCAAGTTTCAATACGAAGATCTTGTCACCAGGCGGTACTACCAGTTGACGGTTGGGAACATGGGAACTGGCCAAAATCACCGACGAATGAAATGGCCTCTTCTTTGTACCTAGGGCTAAAGAAAAGAGGGGCTAAGATTTTCTTCCCTGTTCAGTAAATAGCCGTGACCTTGAGAACAATGCAGCCTGAATACGTTTGGGAAGGAAGTCGTTGGGCATCTAAATCAAAGATTCTTTGTCCCAATCTCACAGCTTTCCGAAACCCCTACGAGGAAATTAGAGCAGTCATCTCGATTGGAGATCTGTCAGTGTATAGATTGCCCTCGACTTTCGCACATAATTGATTGAACGTATGCGAATGTTGAATGTTTGAAACTGGAGGGATTCCAGAACAAAAAAAAAATTTTTAAGAATTACACTTTAAAATTTTTATTTATCTGTAACAAGGCGTGTTTTCAGGTGTTTTATAAACTTGCCAGGAGTTAGTTGATTTTTTTTTTAATCCAAAGCGGCAATTTACCCAGAAGGACTATTAATTTCGTTTTGGCATTTTGCGTCGATTCACTATAAGCGTTGTTGTTTCACTTTTCAAATTGTTGCCACCAAATATTATCTTTAAAGAAATTACATAATGAAGAATCTGCATAAATGTATGTTCTTTTTTTTTTTTTTTTTTTTTTTCTGTGATAAAACAACAGTATTTAGAGCCATCCAATTTCGAATAACGTAATTCTCCTGCGAATATGAGCATCTGGAAGGCCAAATTTGAAATTTAGAATTTGTTTTATCGATTTCATATTTTGTAAAACTTAACAGAATTGTTTTCTTTTTTCTTTTTAAATAAAGTTCTACAACATGCGGCCAAAGAAAGTCTCTACAATACATATTCTTTGATGCGGCGTCTTTCTCAATTATCTTCTGTACTTGAGATACACATTCTCCATTGGGATCACAATCTTCCATGGTGGTAAAAAATTTATCAAGATGCATGAAGGCTTCATTAATATTTTTGACTGTAAAAGTCTTAACGATTTTATGAGCATCTTCTTCCTTGCTTTCATTGTGTATTTCATTTAACGCTTGTCGTTCGGTTAATATTCATTTGGCAAAGATACTGAGTGAGAATTCAGTCAACTCATTAAGTTTTCGCTGATGACATTTAAGTTTAGTTCATTCATTAGGCTAACTATTTTATCTGTGATAATTTCCGGAGTTCCTTCAACATTTATAGAATCGCTCGTCATTTGTGAGCATAAGTGTTTCCAGAGATACTGACTCCTTTATTTTAGCCCACGAGTCTCCAATATTGTTTATTGTATTCCATATACAAAATTCTCTTAATGTTGACTCACATTCCCTGCGAGTTGCCTTGATGGCCTGATTCGTTATTGGTCTCATATAATATCCTTTAAGAGTAGCTATCACTGTTTGAAGGCAGGTTGTATTCCGAGGAAGAAACACAACATTGATTTCCGGGTATAAATGCTGCAGAGATTTTGGGTTTCCTGAAGCGTTGTATAATATTAATAAGTAAATTTTTATCTTTACAGTTAGATTAATAAATAAATTTTTATCTTTACAAATAGATAAATTCTCAAATTAATAAGTAAATTTTTATTTTTACAATTAGATTAATTTCTAAGTTTAAAAATAAATATTTCTCTTTGCAATTACATTAGTTCTAAGATTAATAAATAAATTGTTATTTTTATAATTAGATTATTTCTAAGATTAATAAAAAAAAATTACCTTTACAATTAGATTAATTCTAAGATTTTTATTTTTACAGTTAGATTAATTCTAAGATTAATAAGTAATCTTAGAATTAGTCTAATTAATTCTAAGATTATAGGTACTTTTTATTTTTTACAGTATTGCGTAACTGCCAGCACGGAATGAGAAGTGAACCAATTTTTAAACATTGATGCAGTAACCCAAGCTTTTGAATTTAATTTCCAGATGAACAGAAGAAATTTTTTTAACTTTCCATGTCAATGCTCTTAGATTTTCTGCTTGATAAACTAACAATGGCTTATGCTTTAAATCACAATTTTTGCAATACCGACAAATTAAAAAACCGAATTTTTAAAATGTGCGAAAGTCGAGAGCCGCTAGTAAAGGGAGATAGGAACGGCCACCGAAGGATACAAGTTGAGGTAGAACTGAGAAAATTCAAGCAGTCTCATTGTGTTACATTACATTGTATTTTGCTCTCAAAATGATGAGTCCTATAGGAAAAAATTAATTTTTTATGTTCAAAATATCTTTTTAAATTTTTGGGACAGTTAATTTCGTTAGTTAAGCTATCAGGAATTGTGAATATAGTCAATTGTATAAAAATAAATTATGATTTGTTTCACACAGATTCGGCTCATTTGGCAAAGCAAAAGATTTTTACAGTGGTCCACATTTGTGTTCAGTTACTATCCAGGGCCGTTCCTAGCGCGGGGGTGCAAAGCGTAAAAGTACGCTGGCGGAGAAAATCAGGGGCGGCCGGACTCTCGCGATACCACGCCTAAATATTTTAAAATCATTAAATTCATTGTAAGTACTTGTCATATGTAAGTGATTTTTATACAATTTGTCATACGTAGGTACTTAGAGAGTATGAAATAAAAATTTTATTAATCACTGTGCATTTATTTTTTTTATCAGCGAAAACTTAATGGCGCAAGTATTATCAATTACTAAATGCTAGTGAAATAACTTTATTTTTTTTCACATATTATATCGGTTACCTTTTTCTTAAAAGGTGACCGATATAACATGTTTTGAAAAAAAAAATTTCAAAACGTTCTTGGCAAATAAAATAATTTATTGAACTGAATACTTACGTGAGTTCTGAAAATGAACTCATGTAACTATTCAGGCAATTTAAATAAACTATTTATACTTAATAAAGCATAAAAACAACGAGTCATTCAATATTTCGTAGGATACCCTGTAGCTATAACTACAATTTTCATACACTCTTGGCATAGATTCAACTAATTTTTCGTATAAAAATCTTCCATTTCTCCGTACGAATTATATTTAGTAGAGCTTTCGAAGAAATATATTCCATTATTCTTTTCTCCAACTTGCTCCATACGTGTTCGATAGGGTTTTGGCCGCCCCTAAATCCTGCCGCCCGGTACTCGAAATTACACCGGCTTTTTTGAAAGCCTTGAACATTTCAGTAACGCAGCGTTACATATTTTAATACTAAAATCAAGTGTCATTCATTAGGTAGGAGGAGGGGGAAAAAAGTTACTTTTCCTTGGAGAATACACTGTATGCACTGTTATCAGGTTCAATGTTCCTTCTTACCTTCTTCGGGAACATACAAGGACCTGACTCGGAACAGAGAGCTTACTAAAGCTATGTTCACTAATTGTGGTAAGTAGACAGGATACAGACGAAGGGTATACAAAACCCTTTATTTTTCTCTATATATAATAACTTCCGTACTTCGGAATACACTGACCCGCTACTTGGGGTCTAACGTAAAAGCATAAAAATAAAACTAAACTCTAATTTAACTTTAGAATAATAAACGTGGAAGATTGGCCTTATATTAACAGGAAGCGTATGTAGTACAGAGTACTGTGAACACTACAATACGTTTAAATTTATCAAGAGGATTAAAACCTCTGGCCTGGAAGGCAAACAACAACTGCGTAACTTCTAAGGTAAGCGGCCTGCTTTGACTCACTGCTTCCTCTCTCTCGCTTGGCAAAAAGCCACAACTTAAATACTTGGCGTTCGCCAGACAACTTTGCATAAAAACCTTAACGCTTATAATTCTGGCCGGAAGTAGAAAATAAGAAGTGATAGTAAAGATTCAAAATAAAAATAAACGTTAGTAAAACTTAAGATCCTTACACTGTATGTAAATTAAATTTCTGTAATTTTTATTTAAATTTATAACAACCTTTTCTCATTCGTCTGAGTCGGTTTCAATAATATTTTTTTAAAAATGCTTGTTTTGTAAAAAAAAAAAAAAAAAAAATAATAATAATAATAATAATTCGTGCTTTAGTTTAAAGCGATTCGTTTCTAAACTGCAGTATCTATTTGGACTTTTAACTCAACAGAAAATTATCTCAATACTTATTTACTCAATACTAATATTAATAATAAGATATAAAATGCTCTTATCTACACTGCATTGTTATTTAGATCAGTGTAAGCAAAGAAGCTGCAGAAAAATTCATGCAGTAAGCCTTTTGAATCTCTAGGTGGGGTAAATTTTCGTTTTATTTGGTTAAGGCAAAGCACACGAAGGCTACCTGCTTAAGGAAAGGTATGCTTCCGGGGAGGACTTTCTAAAGTAAACTGGCTCATCCCTATGTTATACAAGGGAAAAATCACCAAAAAGTGTCATGTTACCAGCTCGTTTTCCTGTAATCGAACCCAAATCTAACTACCAGCCCTCAGGAACTTTAGCGCTCGCCGCTGGTGGGCTAAGTAAGGCAGAGAAGGAAAGTGCGGGACTAACAGATTATAAGACAGGGGACTGGACCTCTGTATTGAGATTAATTAGAAACACGTTCATTAAAACGGACCGACTTTTTTACAAGAAAAGAAAATGCTAAAGGAAGGCATATAAAGACGGAATGAACCTAATAGTTTAATGAAAAGTTATAAACTGCCTATTTTTTCCGTCTGCATTTGTCATGGAAGTAGGAAGTAAGGTGGAGAGGCCCTAACCGGTTTCCCCCATACACTGCTCTTTGAAGCACAAAACATTGGGTGATTTACCATTAAGATCAGTGGGTTTTGATACGATCGTAAATATTTTGTAATTAGGTCGTAAATATACATATAAATATATATATTTTCTTTTTCTAAATATTTCGTAGTCCTAAGTATACGAAAAGAATACATTTTTAAACAACATTTCATTCTGAACGGAATTAAATGCTATACTTTTCGCAGAACCCTTTGCTCAGAACGGTTTAATTTGAAAGAAATATTTTCACAAGTTATCGTTAATTACAATAGAAAAATATTTTAAGGTAATTCAATTTTATTCGGTTAAGGATTACAAAAATTAAGATCAAAGTTTACTGTATTATTAATAT